TCCTCTCTCTCTCTCTCTCTCTCTCTCTCTCTCTCTCCATAATGGTTAAAAACTTGTCGAGCCAACTTAGATAGGGACTCTAAAGATTTTTCTTCTTAATTGTCGCTCCAAAAAACTGGTTTGAATCAACAAATAAATGGTCCAAATCGGTGACCAGCCCTAGTGTATTGGCGAATAAAAAATTAGGAAATAAAAAAAGTAAAAGCAACTAAAAAATAAAGTAGAGCCGGTTCTATGACAAAACCAGCCAATTATTTCAGATATCCGAATAGAACCTGTCGGTTCTCAATATTTAGTTGGATCTAGATCGCCCTAACCAATTCCCAATTAAATTGACTTATTCCAATCTGAATCACCTATTATAAAACCTTGAAACAAACAATAATCCCTAATTTCTCCCCCTATCCTAGAGCAAAAACATTTGAATACCACATATTCACTAATTTATTATTTTAATGATTTACCCTAGATAATGAAATGAAAAGGAAGAACGCATGATTGGTTCCAAAAGTAAATTGAGATCATATAAATCAAAGGTGACAAAGGTGAAAAGGATTTAAGGCCTAAGGTTAAAATCAAGGCTCCAAACGTCTTTTTCACAATTCGCCGAAATTCGGTCCAATTTAAGTAGCCAATATTCCGGAGATTGAAGATAACTTCCCCTTCAATATTTTTATAAGAGTACTGATCTTATAAGGCCATCTCCCACCCATATATGTAGGATCCCAAAAGATTATCATTCAATTTCATATGGATCTCTATAAAAGTTATCACATGGATGTGGAACTTGATTTTTTTTAGAGATCTGTGCCAAATTTAATGATGATCATTTGTAGTTCTACAAATATGGATAGGAGAGGGTCCTATAGAATCAATTCTTTTTATATAATTTGTATTTAGAGCTCAACTTTTAAAATAATACCAAATCTTGCCAAAGTCTCTTAAATTCGGTATTAACCTTCAAGTAAATGGGCAATAACTTTCACCCGACGTGGAATTAACTTGCTCGAATTTCATCTGTATTTTACCAGGAAATCCACTTTGAAATTCAAAATCGCGTTTACATCTTAATCCCAATTAAAACAAATTTCAAATCCACTGATTTTACTCCCGTGTGAAAACAACCCACGATCGATATTGGACGCCGTATCGGTGTTTCAGTTTCGGATAACGGTCAGAGGAATAATGTCATGGGGCGACATGTTACCACCACTATTTTCTCTCTCTCTAAATCTCTCTCTCTCTCTCTCTCTCCACCATTTTGGACAGTCATAAAATAACCCCACCCACCTTTTCTCTCTCCTCACATTTTTGTCACCCCCACCATTAACACACTCTCTCTCTCTCTACGCATAAAAGCATAACTTCCACGACCCCCACAAACACCCAGAACCAGAATGGCAACTTCCTCAACACCCATCTCCTTTCTTTTCCTCTTCTTCCTCTGCAACTCTCTCTATTCCTCAGGTAATATTCCTTAACTCCGATATTTTACTTGCTCACATTCTATACTTCTATTCCTCTTCTTTATGACTCTTTCCTCCTTTCACACTGTCATTTCCAAAATCCAGAAATTTTTTTATTCTAATTTCTTTCAACAGAGTATGAGTTCATTGAAAAAAGTATTATCTTTCACGTATGTTGTTCGATCAAGTTTTGTTACTTTTTGCAGAAGTTTATCTCTTGAATCAAATCTCATTTTGTGTATTTCACTTAATGTGTTTGAGCCTTTGAGCTCATAATTGTCCAGTGTCGGGAATTAGGTTTTGCCTTGACAATCAATTTTGTTGTGATGTTGAACAGATGCTGTGGAGCTGATAGTGGTGAACAACTGCAAGGAGGCAGTGTGGCCAGGCATCCTCGGTGGTGCCGGACACGACTCCCCTGAGGACGGCGGCTTCCTCCTCGAACCCGGCCAACAAACAGTCGTGAAGGTGCCCCAAGGATGGTCAGGACGGCTCTGGGGCCGCCAGGGTTGCTGCTTCGACAACAACAACAAGGGAACCTGCGAAACCGGAGACTGCGCCGGCCTCCTACACTGCAAGGGCATGGGGGGCATACCGCCTGCGACATTAGTCGAAATGACATTTGGTACCGTGCAGTCTCCTCTGCACTATTACGACGTTAGCTTGGTCGATGGCTTCAACCTTCCGGTCGCCATGGTCCCGGTCGGTGGTGGCATCGGGTGTGGGATCGCCTCTTGCGAGGCCAATTTAAACGTCTGCTGCCCTTCGGCTTTCGAGATCAAACGGGGACAGAGGGTGGTGGGGTGCATGAGCGCGTGTTTGGCTCTCAAAACTTCCAAATACTGCTGTACTGAAGAGTATGCGTCCTCCGCGAGCTGTAAGGCTACTATCTTCTCCCACTTGTTCAAGGCTGTATGCCCGAGGGCGTATAGCTATGCTTTCGATGACGCGGCAAGTCTAAGGACGTGCCGAGCACCGAGGTATGTCATCTCCTTCTGCCCAAGCTTGCATTGATGCAATGCGTGAGCAGGAGGAGGAGGACGACGACGACGAGGAGGAGAAGCTTGGAATTGTTAGGAGTATTTGCTCTTGTCTTCATTCTTGTGTCTTTTGGGTTAGATGGGTAATGCATTTTGGGTTAGATGGGTAACGTTAGGATTTATTTTGTTTTTCTCTCTTATGCATACTTGTAATTGAATCATGGCTTTTGTTAGTAACTAGTAGAATTTGATTTTTTCTTTTTTTTTTAATGGATGTAGTTTGTATGAGGTCTGTATATTATATTGTAGAATTACGTTGCACCTTAAAATCTACCTTAAAAGGTTGATCTAATGGCCAAAAAATTATTTTCACCCTTAATTATAAAATTTCAAATTTTAAACCATGCATATCTATAAGTACTTAGAAAGCTTGAAATGGACAATCTAGATAGTGTGTAAGATGCACTATGCTCAATGCTTGAAAGCTATTTTTTCTTTCATACCCATCCATGTATCTCGAGCCGAAAATGATAAATTGTGGTTTTTTCCGAAAACGGAACAACCTTTTTCAAGTGGATTTTGTAGGTGAACCTTAGTTCAACAATATAAGGTTGAGACTTCATATAAATTCTTGTATTTTTCATTGTTAGTGTTGGAATTTAGATGGAATGCTCTTGGAATTTCGGTGTTTCTTGAGGACACAGTTGTGTATTTATTTCTATTGCGCAGTTGGGTGTCTTTTAAGGATAGGGCACTTGCCTTCCAAGACAAGTAAATCTTTATTCCAAGAAAAAAAAAAAGGAGCATTTTTATAAGGTTTTCTTTACTTTAATGTTCAATAAAGGACGGTCTTGATGTTTCTCACGTTCAATAGGGTTTAAGTGAGCGTCGATACTTGGATATTGAGAAGGAAAAGATAAAAGCGCATATATCCTTGGCATGTGCTTCACATAAAATACAAAAGGCCATCCGACAAATTAAACCGTGTTAAAGAGTAGCATTAGTTTTTATAAAAATAAAGGATCGTGTACTATGATGTTAACCCTGGTAGATGCGGAAACAATAATCCAAAAAGTTGGATCCCACTATGATTGTATACTTATCCACTAGAAACAAACAAAAAATGAGAGAGGATGAGTCATAATACAAAAAATAAAGCATGAAACACGCGTTACAAAAGCAAAGATTTATGTGGTTCACCCCGAAAGGGCTATATCCACGGGCAATCGATAGGACAAGGATGCATTCTCTTCTCCTTAAGGGAGGCCTTGCCAATGCCGATGAATCCACATTTCTTATATGGTGACCTAAATAGAATACACAATCTCCACACTTTCATTCAATATATATACGGTTAGGAATCCACATCAAATAAAAAAAAAATTTATAGATGTTACATATATCTCAAAACCAAGAGATATACCCTAGAGTCCTAATCTTTTTAGATTTCCATTTCATTTAAAAAACTTATCAATATCAATATCAGTGTCAATTCCACATAATATGGGATTTCTTTTTGTGGGTGATTTTAGATATCAATATATACTTCATATGAGATTATTTACCTTTGTAATAAAGAGATACCAATCATTCATATCCATTGGGTGTCAAAATAGATGGCTTGGGGTGTGTTATAGAGTTTGATATAAAAAAATTTGAACTTTGAGTTTACTCAATGACACACTTATGACCATCTAATTTAAAATTTAACAAACAAAAGTAATTGTGACATCCTTGTACTAAAAACAAAAGAAAAAATTTATATAAGGTTGAGGCTCTAAAAAATTTATATAAGGTGCATCTCAAAAATTCACTAAAGAAACATTAAAAAAAAAAAAAAGGTGGACTTCCAAGTCTTGGAATGGTGCATCTTGTAATCGCATTATCTAAAGGTCAATTTTAAGAAATTCATAGATATGCTTGATCTACATTATTTTTTACGCTTTAAATTTTATAATTAGATATGAAAATAAAATTTCAGGCCATCATAAATACTTTTTATACTGAAAAGACATCTTTTTGGTAGCATTTACAAGTGCACCTTACTTTGATTGTTTAGGGCATCGGTCTTGTACAAACCACACTCAAAAGTAAGTGGCCTTTTTATATACTTCTCTTAAAAATAAAGTGAAAAACCGTGAGCGCCTGCACCATGTCCCGTGGAGTGTAATCTACGCTTATACCTGGGGCAGAAGACTAACTTTGGAAGATGTTTTTATCCAAAATTTTGGGAATCACCTAAATGATTATATTAAATAAAAAAAATGAATTTTAAGTTTTCTAACTCTTAAGGGTCATTTGGATACCTAAAAATATATTGTTTGTGAAATATATTATTTGTGTAATATATTATGGGTAAGCTTTCTATGCTTTCCCTACCACATAGAAGTTCTATCCTCCCCTTGTCCAAACGTCCATTCTAAATGGAGGGCTAAGATTGCCCCAATCACAATATCACATCTCTACACTATTTTATTTTTATTTTTATTTTTATTTATAAACTATTTTGACACCAAATTTTGGATGTCCATTCCTCTATTAAACTCGCACTAGCGAAAAAATATAAAAAAATATATTTTCAATAAAATAAAATGACCAAAATACCCCTGCAAGATTCAATGGGTAATTTGGTCATTATATTTTATCAAAAAATTATGTTTAATATTTTTTATAGGTGCGCCCCAATAAGAAGATGGCACGTACCAAATTTTATATTCATACAATTTGTATAAAAAACTAAAAATAAAATACTTTGAGACGTCAGATCTAAGATCAAACGGTGAGTGACTCTCTTGATTAACTTTGAACAGCTAGATGGTAGGGGAAGGATAGAACTTCTATGTTGTAGGGGAAGCATAGAAACATTTTTCATACATTATTGCGTAATACATTATCTGCAAATGGATTGTCACTGTTTGGGTAGTATTTAGATACAACCTGAGAAATACATTGTTATTGTTTGGCTATGTCCAGAAGAAATATGGGAAATGCATTAGCAACATTTTTCTTTTTTCTTTTTGGCTTTATACTGAAAACATAGCTGAGCGTATAATCACGTTTTTCTTTATTTTTTTGCCTTTATACCCAAAACATGGTTGAGGGTACAATCCCTATTAGTATGTAGCTTAAACTTTATAATTGCATCAGGCATAAGAATTAGCCATATTTTTTTTATGCTATTGTGTCTTGACTTGGAATCACATGTTTTCAAGATGTTAACACTTTGGAATAAAGTATTTTTATTATGATAAACCATCATGTTTTTTATGTTTTTTTTTCTTGTGCTAAAGCCTTTCCATCATCTCTCTTCAGAAAACTTTTATGTGCAAATTCAAAAGAAAATAAAAAGTTTGGAGCAATTTAAAACAATCACTATAAATGTTGGTTGTAGAGCCTAAAGAATAAATCTTAATATCTGAAAATAAACAATAGCTACAACTGAGGTGGCAGAATATGAGGCTGCCGAATTTTAGCTGGAGAAGATGGGGTTGTATTATGATTTGTAAGATTAGAACGGTAGTGGTAAAAAATGGGGCTGGCAAGTTTTAGCTGAAGAAAATGGGACTGTTATGTGATTCGTGAGATTTTAATATATGTGCTACGGCGTTTTATTGAGGGTTAAATATATGTGAGATTTTGTTTGCAAAGCGAGCTATTGATGGCAAAAAATGGAGCTACCGCATTTGGGGGCTGTTGTGTGATTCGTGGGATTTAAATATATGTGTCATTTGGTTTTGAGAGGGAGCTATTGGAGGCAGAAGATAGAGCTACGGTGTTTTATTGAGGGTTAAATATAGGTGCGATTTTGTTTGCAATGCGAGCTATTGATGGCCGAAGATAGAGCTACAGCGTGATGGCAGAAGATAGAGCTATTGATGGAAGAAGATGGAGCTACCACGTGATGGCATAAGATGGAGCTACCGCATTTTATTGAAGTTTAAATATATATGCGATTGGTTTGCTATTGATTGAAAAAATGGGGCTACCACGTTTTAGCGGCTAGTTGAACAATTTTTTTTGTTGTTTGTTGTGGCTTATTAGTAAGTGAATCACGGATTTTTGGGTAGCGAAATTCACCGAGAGACATGCCTAAAAGATTTCTCCCAATTACTCTTCACTGACGTAATAGATTTTAAAGATTTCTCCCAATTACTCTTCAAGGACGTAATAGATTTTTCACCTTTTACCACGTTTATTTTTTTACAGAAATCATAATCTTTTTCTATTTCCTTACCATTAAAGTGTACCCAAACAATGAAAATGTCATAGTGTAATCTATTTTCATGTAATAGATTTGTAGGTTCCCAAACGGCCCCTTAGATATTACCCTTTAAGAATTTAAGGCATTATTTTTTTCAAGCCCTATAATTTTAAAACTTTTCTTTTGTTTAGATATCACCCTTTAAGAATTTAAGGCATTATTTTTTTCAAGCCCTATAATTTTAAAACTTTTCTTTTTTTTGAGAATAACATATGGATTAAAAAAAATACATCTCCAAAGGATCCTAAAAATAATCCTAGCCTTAAGGAGTAAATGAACAATTTGATTCCCCAGGAGTATATAATCTTTTGGCAAAGAAATAATGTAGTAAAAATACTTAAATACTTAAATACATAAAAGAATAAGAAGACAGTGAAGTGTGACCATGGATATTTGGATTCTTTATATGTTAAACCATGTGCATTTGTTGTCATAATTTTAGCATGTCTTAATTTTGGAATCAGTCAACAATAACCTCTTCAAAGAAAAAAAATGTTTTAGGACCAGTTTGGATGTCAAATGAAAAAACCTTTACATTGCATTATTTTTTATTTTTTATTTTTTTAAAATTTTTTTATCGTTTATTAAGAAATATTATCATCTTGCTTTATTAAGCTGCTAGACTGTTTGGATGGTGTGCACATACTAAAAGGAAATTTACATTCTACCCTTCCAAAATTATCTTGCCTATCCGAAAGGTTTTTGTGTATCCCTCGCAGTGGTAAAAATTTTGCTTCCATACGATACGGAGAACTTGCAACCCGAGCTTCTCGCTTACAAAATTGAGCTCCAAAACGGGGCATATTGATCCCTCGGTTTCAACCACTGGTGAAAGGTGCACTCTCGCAAATAAGAGGGGATTGTGGCGTTGCTCGCCAGTGACATAGTGCACCAATTACTAGAGGGGATCGTGGCGTTGCTTGCCAGTAATGGAAATGCGGTTTTGGTGCTCAACGTTGACCTCCGATCATTCGAGGGTTTTGCGGAGGGACAAGGTTCTGAGGAGCAGGGGTTGGTGGAGGCCAAGCACATGGTGA